AATAAGAGTTGTTTTTGTGTATCATCTAAATGTGGTAGGTTAATTTTATTTTAAAAAGCCTCTGTATCTTCATTTAATACACCCTCTGGTTTACTATGTAATTCTGAATAAAATTTTAAAAATTGACAATTAATATCCATTGAAGTTTTATACATTTCATCTCTTTCACCTCTAATGATTGGAATCATTGCCCTATCTTTTTTTTTTGCTTTAAACGATTAACCAAGATCTTACCGAGTCTTTCACCGTTCTCTCAGTATCTCTGTTATAAACATGTTAGCATAAATTCTGTCTGCTGTAATATTATAATAGTTAATTCATATTTCTTTTTCTGTATTTCTCTGTAGAAAACTATACAGTCTCTGCTATTTTGGCACATAAAATTAAATAATGCCCATTTACATCAGTAATAACTTGTTGAACATCAATTGGGAATCCTTTTCAAACCCAAAATGGCCACACCTTTAGCTTTCGTCAGAGTATCTGTGAGGTAAACCTGTCCCACTCAATCTTTCATTAATAGAGAATTATCCTGTTCCGTTAGATGAGTCTCTTGTAGATAAACAATATCTGCCCTTAACGATTTTAAATATGCTAAGATTACATTTTGTTTCTTGGATTCTTGTAACCTTTTACATTTAAAGTAACTAACTTCATCCATAAATTTTATTTTGGCCCACTTATCAATATTCTCCCAATACCAATCCATTTTATGACCTGTAACATTTAAGAAATATCTAATAATAAACTTTTCTATATTTAAATATTTAACAATATTTTCTAGTATTGTTCACAGACATAGAACCTCCATAAAGACTCAACATTCCAGTACCACCTTTTTACATCTATATAGAATCTATACTTAAAGGAAAAATAGAAAAATATGATTATGTGCATAAAAATTAAAAAAAACCAAGCAAGTGACATTATAAAAAAATTAAAAGGAAAGAAAACAACAATATGTAAAGAATGAAAAAAAAAATCACAGGAATTGACGACTTCCCGAAGGGGATGGCACGGTGGTTTCATCTCTCTTTTTACACTGAAAATTATGGAACAGTTTCAGACGCTACTAATTGAAAAAAAAAGTACTGTGTGTTAAAAATAAGTGATAGAGTTGGCAGTTTGCCAGACTATCTAGAAAAAACCCCAAAACAAACAGGAGTACAGAAAAAAAATACTGGCATGTAGACTTTTAAACTTAGGTTTTTACTGTAGGCAAACTCCAACTTCTCTGTGGCGGATTCTGTAGAATGAAACACAATCAAGCTTGTCCATCTGCAGATTTTAAAGATAAGATAAAGCCTCTGCATTCAAGGGATTATCACATTTGTGAATCTGATCTTGATT